GATTTCGGCTCGGGGGGGGGGGCGCGGCAAAAAAAATTTTCAAATGAAGGTGCGTGGCGTCAGCCACGCACTCCGAAAAAATTTTAGGGGGGCTTCTCAACAATTTTGCGGGCCCTCAACCCCTAAAATCTGGAAAAAGGGGGCGTGGCGTCAGCCACGCCCCCGAAAAAAATTTTTTTATAATTCTAATTTGAATTTTTAAAAAATTTTAAAAATTATTTTAATTGTTTACAAAAATAAACAAGTCATTTGCACATTTTTATAACGCATGTAAGTAACTTTCAAAAATTTCGCGAAGCAGTGGTATCAACGCAGAGTACTGCGCGCCCCCCCCCCGCCCCCCCCCCCCTCGGTACGCCACTGATATATACCAGTGGTGTTTGAGCTTCTGAAAGTGTCTTTGGAATTTTCGGTCATACTTGTGGCCAGCAAGTTCGATACCCCTTGCGACACCTTTATTGCAGGGAGAAAAACGTGGCTTTTTGAAGACTGAATGTTTGAACTGACAAGCTTATTTCCTACATCCCACACTTTTTTAATTCGCACCACCCTCTCTTATAACCCCCCCCCCCCCACCGCCGGTGCCCTTTACGACCTCCCGTTGCGACAGTTGCATCACATGCTTGACCCTGATTGCAATGCCCTATCGTATAACTTACCTGTCCCAGTCCCACTTATATCAGGTTGGCCCGAAAGTTTTGTCGGTCTCTTTGATCGGTCATCAAAACCCAAAGAAGTCTAATCGATAAACGACTTGGCTACCTCAATTCAGATCTTTATGCTCTTCCTGCTAGCTACATCTTTTTGGTCTGTGTAGTCTTTGCGAGTTATGGCCATAGCTATTCAAGCAGCTCAACAGTCGCCACATTTTCCTTAACTCCTAAAAAAAGCTTGCGATATTTTCCAAAGCTGTAATAGATATTGAGTAGAGTAAACCCTTGGCTGCATCAAACTTGATTTAGATTACATAGATGAGATTTTTGAATTCTGTAGTAATTATCGAGGTGGAAAAACCTGACTTTTTGCGCACCTTCAACGCATAGAAATACCGGAATTCTAAAAAGGTGACTTTTCAGAGCAAATCAAGCTTGACTGTTTTGCAAAAATGATGACTAATAATAACCAAGCTTCAGCTCGCAGAAACTTGCAAGCTTTTCAATTTTTGTTGCAGTAGCGTGTTTCATGGCTTTACAAAAAAGCGATACCTTTAAAGAAATAATTTTTTAGAGCTCCTCACAGCCGATTAGAAGAATCTAAAAGCACTGTCTCCTAATCCAGACTTTGCTAAATTCGATATTTATCTATTTCTCTTCGAGAGTCTGAAATAAAATTTGTGAAAATCAACCAAACTTTGAGCGAATCAAAATGAAGGGTGAACTTTGACAATTATCTAATAGCTTTCGGGGGATTATGATTAGAAATTATAATCATCAAAAAGAGAAAGAAAAACGGCAACGAATGCTTTTGAAAACACATTGAGTCCTTTATTGTACGTGATTTTATAGTCGTTTGAAAAAACCGACAAAACTTCGGGACAACCTAATGTACGCCAGCACCCTGCCTCTACTCTGTTTTCGTAATCAGCATGCTCACTTAGCACCTGTGTGAACTCCCAGCCGCGTAGCTCAAAAGCAAAAAAATCGAAAGAAGTCGATAAGATCGATATCGATCGCTGACGAAAAGAAGCCTGCAACCTGCCCCGCTTTAGCCGTCCATTTTGATCAACATTGCCGCTAGTGTGACTTATCGAACAGTCACTGTACGCGCTCGTTCACGACATTTATCACGGTTGCTGCGGATTTGATTTTAAAGTTTACTACCGAGAAGGCGAGCGCTATCAATGTACCTAGTTTTGTTATTTCAGGTAGCGGTTGCGGATTGCCTTTATGTCACTGATCCAAAACCAGACTCGAGTGTATTAGGTAAATGTAGAAAGTAAAAGTTTTCCTTTTTCATGACATTGCAAGACCCTAAACAACCGCCCCCGCCATAAGCTCCAAAAACTTGGTTGGACAACTCCTCTTCATTCGCTGTATTCGCCAGACATGGCACAACCTACTGCCATTTTGTCCTCCACCAATTTCTCGATGAAAATTAAGCGAGGAGGACTTTGAAGGCGTTTTCAGAATTTCTTCGACCAAGAGACAACGAGCTTATACAGCAAAAGCATCAGGTACTTTCCTGCGTATTGACGATATATTGCTGACAGTAATGGCTCATACGTGGTTGATGGACGTTGCAAATAAATAAAGGAAAAGATGTTCGAAAGGCTTCGACCCAATGCATAAGACATGTGACAACCTAATAGAGAAGTAAAGTGCGGTTCATAATTATACGAACACCCAAAATATTGGAAGTTTTTGGACTTTTTAAAAGAAACTTAAAAAGCCGTTGGCACCACGAGAAAGAACACAGCCGAAAACGGTGTATGATCCATAAGAATGGAAATGGATGTCAATTTTAGGAGCGTTTCTGCGCCTAATGCGATTTTTTAGCGGTTCATAATTATACGAACATCTCAACAAAGGTTCATTTTTCATTCAAGAATGCAATCATTCGAGTCCAAATTTTTTGTAGAGTTACAGTAACAAAGTCTGACATACCTGCTACACACTGAACCCAGTGCAGCTCAAAAAGAGGATCGCTACTTGTTTTGTTTTGGAGCGCAATCACTCCAAAAGCATTTAGAGCCACCTGAAAAAAGTAGCGATCCTCTTTTTGAGCTGCACTGGGTTCGGTGTGTAGCAGGTATGTCAGATTTTGTTAGTGTAACTCTACAAAAAATTTGGACTCGAATGATTGCATTCTTGAATGAAAAATGAACCTTTGTTTGAGGTGTTCGTATAATTATGAACCGCTAAAAAATCGCATTAGGCGCAGAAACGCTCCTATAATTGACATCCATTTCCATTCTTCTGAATCATATACCATTTCGGCTGCGCTCTTTCGCGTGGTACCAACGGCTTTTTGAGTTTCTTCCAAAAAGTCCAAAAACTTTCAAATTTGGGGTGTTCGTATAATTATGAACCGCACTTTAGTACATTATAGGCGGTGTTCGAACAAAAAGTCGGTTTTGAAATTTTATGCTTCCCCGAGCATATTCGCTATGCTGAATCCGAAAACCCGCACTGGAGAGCGCAAAAACGGCGAAAAAGGGCTCTAACGCAGGAGGGTAACCAGCAGGTGGGCGGGTTCAATATTCTGAACTTCACTGGGCTAAGGTCTACTTTCGCACCAAATAAATCCAGCTGACGGGCCTGGCGCATAGTCGCCAAGCGCTTCATAATTTTGTTAAGTAAGCGTACTGACCAATCGTAAAGCGGCTGAGCAGCCAAGCAGATAAGTCTAGTGCCTGCCTAAAACTAGTCTAACATCAGCTCATTCAGAGTTGTTGATTCTAGATATACCCTAAGATCTTACAGATAAGTTCGCTTTTTGCCAAGAAGGATCGATAAAATGCACCCACATTGCCAAAAATCTTGCAGACAAGTCCTCTCAGATAAGTTCGCCTACAGATAAGTCCGGACTTATCTGACAGTCTTTGGACTTATCTGACAAGATTTCAGGGTAGTTCTAATGGGAGTAAACGGACATATCTGAAGGGCCTTATCTGACAAGGGAAGCTTGTTTAGTCAATGTGGCCTTTCTAAATGAAATGTATACCCTATAAAAGGGCATAGAATTGATTGCTGATTCCAAACCTGCCTTCCTTATCTGCAGAACCTTTATGACGAGGAGTTATGAGCGTTTTTCGGAGCCAAAAATTGAACGTGCATTATGGATGAAATGGGTTGCAAAAATCTTACTAGCCTCAAATAATGCAACCAACTATGGTGTCGTAGATTATCCAAATAATCTACAACCTTTAGCATTGTAGATCTACCGTGTGTTATATTTAGCATATCTGTTAGCTTGTCGTTGACAAACCTTATTGTTCACTGACCACTTAAGCCGCCAGGTCACCCCTCCGCTGTGCTTGATAGTCTACTTGGCGGCGCCTACTTTCATGTAGGCAATCCTTCATGCTGTATGATACTATTGTTTACCAGAAGTGAGCATTCAGGTTATCCACGCCCAAAATAGTGGCATAAAAGGGCCTGAATACTCAGTTCTGGTGTTGGTTCGATTATTACCACTATCGTCAGCGGCTGTTCCGCACATTTGCTGTTGATAGTCAGCGGCTGCTCCGCTACTATCGAATAAACAGTTATTAACGTAGTGGTACCAGCTTGGTGTATACCAAATATGGCATATTTTTTATTTTAGAGTGTTTTTTAAAAGTGCTCTGGTAATTATTACTGCTTCTTTGAATAACAAGAAAGAGTATTACAGCCATATTTGTCCTACTTGCACATTCAATTTTTCGCTCCGATAAGCGCTCATAACTCCTCCTCCATAAACGCTCTGCAGATAAGGAAGGCAGATTTGGAATCAGCATTTTATGCCCTATAATATAGTATATGTCCCGTCTAAGAAGGCCACTTCGACTAAACAAGCATTCCTTGTGAGTCAAAAAAGCGGACATATCTGAAGGCGGACTTATCTGTGAGAATTTAGGATAATTTGCACTTTACAATGTTTTCTTATATAAATAAAAGTTATGTCAAACACACAAGCTGTTCGAGATCTCAAAAGCTTACCTTACATACACTCACCGAATTACTGGAAAGCTGAACAAAGTCGGGAATAAAACTATAGATCCCTTTAGGATTCCTAGACTCCTAGACTCAGCTATCATGGCTCTAGGGCTTGTCGGGTTTTTCTGACCCGTATGATAATGAAGAACATTGATGCTTGTTCGAAATGTTAATCGACCTTGGAGCCAGCACTTTAGTAGGATACCTAATAGCGGAAGTAGGTCAAGCAAAGGAGTGGTAACGATTATCTGTTCACTTTCAGGAGTCTCACAATTTTTGAAGGGAGACATCTTTCAGCTGAGCTTCCAACACAAAGTATATAAAATGTAACTGCGGCAACCCCGGATTTCTACTTTCACTCACCTCTTGATAGCCATCGATAACGACCTCCTGATTCTGATTTATAAAGACGCCCAGACATAAAATCGTCCACGATTTTTGCGATGGCATCGTGCAAGCCACTTGACTCAGTATTGCACAAGACTTCAAGGATAGCATCGTACAAAGCATTTGCTTCAGTAACATGCAAGCGATGTTCGCGACACGGTCTACGCAATGAGGGCGATGAGTGCAGTCCGCTGACATCGATATGAATTTCTGTGATCTTATCGGTTTTTGTGATAGTCCTTGGGCGCAACCTACAAGATTAATCATTTTTAAGCGGATTTTGCTTGAATTTAGCACAAACTTCTTGTGCACTACTTCCTCAATATCATCGTCGCGACGGGCGACAGAAGGTTGGATTTGACTTGGACAAGCTTCTGCCAGGACAAGGGCTAAGAGGAGCAGGAATCTCATTGAGAACCGCCTGAATCAAATCTTTTGCATTTGCATGTCGTTTCATGGAAAGGCATGTTAGATTTTGCAACTTTCCATACGTAAATGGATAACTAGAGGTCAATGCAGAATCAAACTTTCTGTTTGCGTGGCATAATCAAAACGAAATACAAGCGCTGATGTGAATAAACTCAAGCCTTAGTTGCAGTCTCAATACGTGACAAGGTTATGGTTCAGCTAACAGTTTTCTGTGAGCTTATAAAGATGTGTATGTTTAATCTTGAGGTGGGAAGAAGATGGCGAGTGCAAATTTAGTTCATAAATCTGGTAGCGCTGTTCATTGTCGAAAGTAATTTGAATATCAGTTGCTAGTTCCAAATTAACACGTTGACGACAACGTCATGCAATAACTGCCGCGTGGGACAATGTGGCCCGCATGGTGGATCATCTTTGATTTTGTTAAAATGACTACTATTTACATTCGTTTCAAAAGCTCTTATACACTGTGATTAGAAGGTAATTTCGCATTTTTTGAGCTTCTTAGAGTCACTATAGGTATAACTGTATAACGAACTGAGCGGTTCTAGACAAAAACGACTTATTCGTGGAGACATTGTTCCATAAGCGCACAACTCAAATTGCAAGTTGTCGCTAAAGTGTTATGGTCGACATTCACAAGAATAAAATTGACCATATCCTAGCATAAGTTCCAGCATAAATTCATGCTGAGAGATGGTATATTATGAACTTTATCAGTTGACTAAGTCGTCGAAGCTTGATAGTATTTCCGATTTTTCAAGGTAGAGATTAAGCATTGCTGTGCCGACATTGTCGGCACTTCCTCACAGTCGTACCATTCCTCGCCAGATTACCGTAAAGGTCATGCCATAAGCATGGCCTGTTGTGATATGAGTGTGTTTACTGCCCAGATGAGCGTCAACTTACTTTGCTCCGAATGTAATCGTTAGCATTCTACCACTGCACGAATGGGTGCATGTCGTCTGTTCGTTAAAGCTCTAATAGTTTGGTGTTCTATTAACACACTAGGAGCTACCATACTCCATAACAAGCGCCACCCATCCGCCTAAGGCTACAATAAAGCCTACAGCCACCACATTTATGTGCCCTTCCAGTGAGCTTTTATAGCTTTCACTCAAGTGAAATTGGATTGCTGCCCTTTCCTTCACGTCACTAATGAAGGCAGCAAGAAAGTTTGTTGATGCTAAAGTACTCGACTACAGTTTTTGGATATAGGAACATTTATTAGGTTGTCCCATAAGTCTTTTCATATTTGAATCTTCGAATTGATATTTCTCAAAAACTAAAGTACCTGCAAGAGTGCAATTTTGTGGCAGTATTTCTGAGTGGATGAGCTATATAATCACATATTTGCGAGGAACAAAGAACCGCTACAGACAAAGTTTGAAAAGTCAACATATTATTTTTTTCTCGTTTTTAACAATTCGAAAAATGCAGCAAGGGTACCATAAATATTTGATGGGAGGAGTATATTGAGCGAGTGGGAATCCGCAGACACGTTTTGAACCGACATGTGATTATTTTGGTCTTTTCGGAAATTCGGATTTTTTCAAATTTGGCGCAAAACTAAATGCGGCTTAAGCTTGGTGCGAGCTATTAAATACCATCTGATAGAGCTTGCTTTGATCTGTCGAATGGTACCCCGCATCCTATCAGGAGTATAAAAAGAACTAAAGCTTATGTCGGTGAGACGTCAGATATGAAAAGACTTATAAAACAACTTAATAGCTACAATCATAACGAATGTTGAGTTGTTTCCGTCACATAAGTTTTATTGCACTTTGACTTTGTACTGGAAGTCCAAAAACTTCCTATTTTTGATTAGGCTTGGGGTACCTTTCAACAAAGAAAAGAGCTCTATGAGATGGTTTAAAGGAGTTCCGACATCATTCCATCTCAAGTTTCAAGACAAACTTAGGAGTTTTCGGGTGCCAGAAGCAAAAGGAAATTTCATCTACGCCTAAAGCTAACTTATCACTCGCTCACGTACATGTCAAATTAGAAATTCTTGTATTAGGTTGAACCGCAAGGTCTGTCGCTTTGATGAAAAATTCGTAACTGCTCTCTATGTGAACGTACTTGCTTACAAAAAATATCAATAGAAAGAAAATTTCATCTACTTTTTGCTAACATCTTCGCGGTTCTCTGATGATAAGAGAATAAAAGTTCGAAAATGAGAACCACTCAAGCTTCCGATTTTTGAAAGAAATTCGTTGAAAATCTGATACGTCACAAAAAATTTTGGAAACATGTTTCTTACAGGTTTTGTGAGCTGCTCTTCCTAACAGTGCCAAATTTGTTCTGATCAAGCTCTTTCTTATAAAAACTAATGATTTACGTGAAAAATGCAAAAAAATTCATAAACGTCATTTTTTGCCGTTTTTCGCAATTTTCACGAAAATCACAAGTTTTTATGAAAAAAAACTCGACCAGCACAAACTTGGTACTGTTAGAAAGGGCAGCTAAAAAACCTATAAGAAACATGCTTCTAGAATTTTCTGCAGCGTTTCAGACTTTCAGTGGTTTATTTTCGAAATCGGGAGTTTGAGTGTTTTTCATTTTCGAATTTTTATTTCTGAAGTCCCCTGTTCTTAAAGAACCTTAGAGAAGATGTTAGCACAAAGTACATGAATTTCCCTTTCTAGGGATATTGTTTTGAGCAAGTATGTTAGGGAGCAGTTGCGAGTTTTTCGAAATCAAAGCGACAGAACTTTCGGTTCACCCAATACATGGGGTTTGAAAAGTCTCTGGCCTCAGGTACTTGAGAATTCCAATTTGCTCTTTGCTGCATGTGTTCGCTGAACCTAGGGACCATTGAATCAACAATGAAAAAAAATTGCTCGAAGGTAATCACTCGTAAGTAGCTATTTCTCTTACTTTCTTTGAAGGGGCAGAAAAGTGCGTTTCCGATTGTTCCACTTTTTTCAAAGGACTTCTGCTCAGACAATCGCTGAGCGCAGGCGGGCACCGGAAAAATAGATTGCTGATTTCTCGCACCCCGCTCGCGGATTTTTTGCAAAGCAATCAGGACTTTTCGGAAGACCGCTTGCTGAGTCAGCGGATTTTTGAGAGACCGCCTGTTGAATTTTTTTTCGCTCTTATCTTTCGCAGATATATTGCTGAATCCCTGAGGAATCGAAAACTCAGCAAGCGATCTTCCGAAAAGTCCTGATTGCTTTCCAAAAAAATTCGCGAGCGGGGTGCGAGAGATCAGCAATCTATTTTTCCGGTGCCCGCCTGCCCCCGGCGATTGTCTGAGTGGTAGTAGGAAAATTTACCAGAAGCTCTCGGTCTACACTTTCTCTTTCTTCATATAACAAAAGTTCTGCAGTAGGTTGCGAGCAAAGATTGTTCATGTTGTTGAAGTACAATAAACACCCCTGCAAGTTTACGTCGAAATCTCTCTAGCTCAGATAATCGTCGGGGGCAGGCGGTCCGCAAACTCGTGCTTTTCTGCAAGCGGTCAGCAGAATTTTGGGGCGTGGCCAAACCTTCAGCGAGCGGTACTTCCTTTATTGTTTAACTAGATGGCAAACCCGGCTCCGCCCGGGGCCAAACTTTGCACACATACACTTCGGGGCAGGGAGCGTGTCATAGTCCACTTTTCGTTATCGGTCGATGTCGATTTTATCGATTTTTTGCAAATTTTGAGCTACGGGGCTGGGATTTTGCACAGGGGGTAATCGAACATGCTGATCACCCCCACGGGGGTGATCAGCATGTTCGATGACACGCTCCCTGCCCCGAAGTATATGTGTGCCAAGTTTGGTCCCGATCGGTTCAGAAATAAAAATTTCTATTCCGCACATACGTACAGACAGACAGACATACATACATACAGACAGACATTCAGCTTTATATATAAGATGTTCTGCCAGCGGGCAGCAACGCAGAATTTTTCGCAGGCGCTCGTCAAATAATCTCTTCCAGCGAGCGCTGGTCAAATTTTCAGCTGGCGCTCGTACGGTTTTTAAGCAGTTTCGGGCGTACGCCGAATAAAAGTGAGACTCTACATAGCAGAGGTGCCATCGATGGTTTAATTACTCAAGTTTGAGGTGCTTTCTCTCAGCGGAAAGTACCTGGGGGCTGCGCGGTCCTCCAAAAAAGACCGTGCGGCTCCAAAAAATTTTGCATATTCTCGCGAAAAGTCGCGAGAATGCGGCCACTGCGCCGCAGCTGATCCATAAGGAAACGGCGATCGTTCTTCAAGCATTCGTCTAAAATTTCGCTGAAATTCTTCCAAATATCTGCAAGCGGACCGCAGGAAATCAGCGAACTATTTTTCCGGTGCCCGCCCGCCCATAAATCGCATGGCCGCCTGCCCCTGCGATTATCTGAGAGTATGGAAACTTTTGGAAGTCTTGTTTCAATGTTTCAATGTTTGTTGTTGTTTCAATGTTGTTTGTTTGTTTTAGGCCCGTATGCACGTACATCCCCGCGGGGAGGGGAGGGGATGTGAGAGGGGAAGCGTCATATCTCGCTAGTCTATATACTTTTCTTCTTCTTTCTCTGTCTTGCTTTTGAAGGTTCTCATACACTGATACTTGCGCATAATGGATGCCAAGTTACTGCCAAACAAGATTAGATATTCACTATTTCGTCTGATCCCCTGGGGATTCCCAGGGATCACCTCACATTTTCAAAGTCATTTATCTTCCTGAAAACTCAATGAAAATGCTCTAAAATTGTACTGAGGATATACTATAGTACTGCAAAACATGTTTATGGTAGGAATGAGTGAAATCTCAAAATATCAAAATCTTCGATGAACCGCTGCTCGCGAGCCAGGGATTATAGAAGAAATCAAAATCTTCAGATTCCATTTCTTCTGTCGAAAACATGCTCAGCAGTATCGTAGTATATCTTTAGTACAACTTTGCAGCGTTTTCATTGATTTTTCAGGAAGATAAATGACTTTGAAAATATGAGGTGATCTCCTGGGGATCCCCAGGGGATCAGAAGGACTAGTGAATATCTAATCTTGTATGGCAGTAACCTG